AAATTGCTAGTTTCTTTCTGTAATAAAAAAAGTCAAAATTTCCCTTAAACTTGCCTTTTCTGATCCCTTGCAGTTATTACGCTATTTAAAAGGCTTCTGGAGGCAAAAGTGTCGTGATTTAGAGGGGAAAAATGCTGATTTTAGACAGTAAAGCTCAAAAAAATCGACTTTGTTAAACTTTTGGTTTTTGTATAGTAGTTTTTCAAGTTAAATTCAAAATTTTTTGATCGTGACAAATTTGACAAGCGTCATTTTTGCCTTCACAAGCGCTTTAAAATGCCTTATCCAGTCTTTTTTCTACTCTCAAGCTCATTCCCGGAGGCTAAGTCTAAGCCCAAGCCCAAGCCTAAGCCTACCTAACAGTCAGTCATCGAAGTGCCTCTCCCCTTAGCCCCGCCCCCTTTTCCGGAAATTGCCATTTCCTGAAAAATCCCATGACATGAAACGTTTCCACAAATGTGATGGGTGCTAATTGTAATATTTACCGATATTTTTGCAAAAATCAGATTCTTATTATTGTCGAAAAATGCTTTCACCCACCTGGTTTTTGCCTTCCCATGAATCTGCCTTTTTTGGAATATTGTGCTTCCCTCCACTTGCAAGTTATCAACAAATCAATGCCTTATCCAATCTACATGCATTAATGTGCCAAAACAGAAATCGATGAAAATCTGTGTATAATAAAATATTTCTAAAGTTAATAGCAAAAAGAGCATTAAAAACGGACAGCTTACATAACTAGAGCCAAAGACATAGACATTTTAAGGCAAATTTAAAATTGGGAAGTTTTGAACAATCACTTTCACCCTATTTTGTAATCCAATTTTTATTCTGAAAATTTGAGATATTTCTGAGGAAATTGGCAGTTTTAAGAAAATTTAGGTGCGCAGTAAGAAGAGGTTTTAAATCGATTCGTTCGAATTCTCTGCAGTTTCAATTTTGTTCAGGCTAAAGGGACTCTGTAATTATAGAATTTTCGCCGTTTTTAAATCGAACGCGAAAACGAGCATTTCCAGATTTTCAAAAACTTGCTATTTTCTATTTTTGGGAAGTTCCAAATTTTAAATTCTCTCCTACTTTTCAACAACTTCCATATTATACACCTCCCGTAGTGACCTTCGAAAACCTTAGACAAACAGAACATATTATTCAAAATACCCTGAATAATTTACGACATAGATCTATTATTGTTATGCCCCTGATTGGATGGGCTTTGCTCTGGGGAATTCTGGTAGTAAGTTAGATATATTTCAACAAGGCACTTGACATTTATCTAGACATTTCTCATGACGCCGGCCGTCTCCAGTTTTTCTTTTTCGGGAATTCACAAATTCCAGATTTTGGACCTTGTACCGTAGTACTTGCTGCTGGAACTACGTAAATTTAGCAAATCCCACGCAGATCTGCATCTGAAAGCGGAATATTTTGTGCAAGGTCAGGCGTGTGAAAAAATAAACTGAATGACCGGATGAATTGCCCGGTCTTTTTAGAGCGCTATAGAAATCCAAACTTTACTATGGTCCGACTCATATAAATTTTATTCTCTCTATACACATTCTCTCTGTCTCTGTCCCTCTCTCTCTCTCTCTGTCTCTCTCCCTCTCTCTTTCTCCCTCTCTCTTTCTCTCGCTCTTTCTCTCTTTCTCTCCATTTTCTGATTTTTAGGAATGGTAAAATTTATTGTAAATGGATATACGGGTGAAGCGGCTGATGCTGGTTTTGTTCCGGCTACGGGCGACGACTATACACGGGAGCTATGCTTTGGGATATTAACGCTTGTGTTTTCGCTAGTCAGCTTTTTCTTATATGCATTTATATTGAGGGTAAGCGCTAAAGAATGGTCTTAAACGGACTGAAAAGTAAAAAAATAATCGCAATAAACTTTGGTTTTTTATTTAGATCATCAACACCGAACGAGACTACAAACAAAACCACTCCCAACGCATCATGTTTCATCTCGGAATCGCGGATTCCGCGCAGTTACTCGTTCATGCGTCCACTGGGGTTTATTTGATACTACAAGTAGAGGGCTATGGATGGTTGGAACAGGTACAGCGCCTTGATCGCTAGAAATTATGATGTCACGCCCCCCTTTAAAAGATTTCTCCGACCCAATCTTGCCCGTAGCACAAAAGCTCTATTTGGAAAAAGCTTGGCAAGCAGGAATAGTAGAAATCATGATTGGTTTCAGTTCCTCGGCGCAATTATGAACGGGATGTGGTGCACCAGCCTGGTGCATACCGCGTTTCTGGCTATGAATCGAGCCGTGTTTATTGTATTCTTTGGGAAATATAGGAATATCTTTCGAGAATCTGTTTTCTATGTAAGTTTTGCTTTTAGACGTTATCTGAATTTAATCTAAAAACCGAAACTAAAAAAAACCAAACAAGAGAAAATTCGACTACTTGTACCTATTTACAAAAGGCTCCATTTTTAGGCCTGCATGGCATTTTGTTGGATGTTCTTCCTGATTATCGCGATTTTGGACTTGAGTGGCGCTTCATTTTTTGTTTTTGTATTGCCATCCTATACTTTTCAATATCTGGTGAGTTTTTCAAGCCATTATTGGCTAGTTTTCCGTTTTTCCGTTTCATGCTTCCTTTAAACCAATCTGCATCCATTTTTATCAATTTTAGGAGGGTTACCCAGCCGGCGGCTTCATCCGTGAATTCAGCAATAATCTAATTATTGCCGAGGTCGTTTTAGCTGCCATTTCCTATGTTATTATCTTCACTTTTGTGTTTGCTGTAAGTCCGCTCAAAAGCTCTCATAAAAAAGTTTTCAGAAAAGCGTATCTTCCGGCAAGGAGTTGCTGCTAACACTACAGGTAAGCTTAGGCTTAGTCTAAGCCAAGCCCAAGCCTAAGCCAGGCCCAAACCTAAGGCCAAACTAAGCTTAAATAACTTAGGCCAAACCTAAGCCCATTTCCAGGTTTTCTTCATCTCCGCCTACAGCATCTTCGGCTACTGTATCTGGACGTATTGTCCGATAGCCGATAGTCCAGGCGCTTATTTTGCATCGAATTTTATTTGGGTGTTATGGTCGGGGATTAATCCCTATATTATGCTGGCTTTTAATAGGTATTTCCGCTAAGAAAAACTATAAAATTAAATATTTAGGAGGATCCGAGACGCTATCAAAAGTTATGGCTGCTTTCAGATTGTGTTTCATGGGTAAGTACGAGAGAGAGCGAGAGATCGAGAGATTGAGAGGGTGAGAGAGAAAGAAAGAGAAAGAGAGAAAGATAAAAAAGTAATTTTAGAGAAAAACGTTCGTCAGTCGTCAGCGTTCGTCCAAGAGCAGCCAGCGTAGCTCAGATGGTTGTGATGACGGCGTTCAAGACAAGGGCGATAAGTGAACCATCGAGACCGCATAGCTCTAGGCATTAATGAAGAGGCTTGAATTGGGAAGAAAAGGTCGCGGATAAATTTTTAAAACTTTTTATGTGTCTGTGCTCAATTTTCTCGGAAAGCAAACAATGAAAAAGCACAAATAAATAGGGGACTACGGACGCTTCCACCAGTGGTTGCGTCGAAATATAAAGCCGGGATAACGACGTAGCCCTTTAACTCAAAATATATCGACGGTTTCGATGTCGTAGCCTAGTGATTTAGTGTAGTGTATCGTAGCTTATCGTGGCATAGCGTATAGTAGCGTAGCACAACGCATACTCGTAGCGTAACATAGCATATCGTCGCGTATAGTAGCGTAGTGTCTATACGCGTCGTTGCATAAAGTATTGAAAGCATGGTGTAGTGTATCGTGGTGAAGCGTATCGTGGTGTAGCGTATAGTTTCGTGACGCAGCTTATCGTATCGTCAAGTAGCGCATGGTAACGTAGCGTATGATAGCGTAAAGTACGATGACGTAACGTATCACGTCGTAGCGTATTGTTTCCGTGCCTTTTCAGTGCTTTTTTCAAAAGGAAGTAAGTCTAAAGCACTTTATTCCTGTCTCGAAAACGCGTAAAATCACGACCATAAAGCTTTACGAATTGCAATAATGGCAATATATTGGAGCGGGGGAAGCGGAAAACTTGAGCAAACCTGCAGGTGAAGCGAATAAATATTCCCAAATAATAGCAAGTGGCAAAGAAAAATGCAAATATCGTCACATAGCCAGGGGGAGTGTACAGAATAGCAACAAGGAAAAAAATTGGAATTATGTGAATAAATGCAAGTCATTGAAGAAGAAAATGTATATTAAGGTAGATTAACCCTCGATATGGCTCAACTCCTTCTCATAAGCGTCTAGGTATGCATTTCTTGACATGGCGTATGGGTAGAGATGGTCGAAGGCCTTGTAGTGGAGTGAGGAACTCCCGACGACTACCTAAAACAAATAATCTTCAAAAAAAAATTGTTGTAGTAACATAATTTGCGGCGAAAAACCCGAATAAATTTTTTTTGCTTCAGGTAGCCCCGATATTGGCCTCTGTTCCCAACCTAAGTTCGAATCCTCACCTTATCCAACAAAATTGACAAATACGCGATCGGATCGCGCTCCAACCCTCGTGCTCGTTCTTTTCTGCTCCTCGCCTGGTCCTCCTCATCATCGTCCGTTAGATCGAGTGGATTGACGATAGGCTCTGGGGGTCTTTTAGCTTCTTCATCCTCAGCAAGTCGGAGGGATGAAGCGGTGGCTAGCTAAAATAGGAACATAACGTAGTCTCTTTCCTTTTCTCTCTCTCTCTCTCTCTCTCTCTCTCTCTCTCTCTCTCTCTCTCTCTCCTCCAAAAAACCCACCGCCAAAAACTCCATCATCCGCACTTCAATGTCCCCTCTGCCATGCAAGAAGAACAACGCCGGCCCGATCGTTACAATGGCCAACGGGATACAATGCGAGTTGTTCAGCGCCGCCCTTATGCTAGGCTTGTAGATGCTCAACGGATTCTCGGCAATCCTCGGCAAAGCAATGGCGATTGCCGCCATCAAAAGCCGAGATACCGTGTAATGCTCGTCGGGTGGGAAGGTGGACTTAAAAAGATCAGTTTTTAGAGTTTGAATAAAATCGGGTACCTGTGCCCTTAATGCGTTGACAAGCGCCATATCCACAACCGTCTTCTCGCCGAGGGCTTCGCCAAGTTCAGAGAGCCCGGCCCGGACTTCATCAGGTAGGCCCGCGTCCATGAAGCGGTAGCAGCGGAGGATGAGGGTGAGAGGACGAGCGAGGACTTCCCTAGAAAATAATAGGTTTCCTAGGTTTTGCTTCGGCTTAGGCTCGGGGTTAGGTTTAGGCTTAGACTTAGGCTTAGGTTAGGCTTAGGCTTAGGCTTAGGCTTAGGCTTAGGCTTAGGCTTAGGCTTGGGGTTAGGTTTAGGCTTAGGCTTAGGCTTAGGTTAGGTTTAGGCTTAGGCTTGGGGTTAGGCTTAGGCTTAGGCCTAGGCTTAGGCTTAGGCTTAGGCTTAGGCTTAGGCTTAGGCTTAGGCTTGGGGTTAGGTTTAGGCTTAGGCTTAGGCTTAGGCTTAGGCTTAGGCTTGGGGTTAGGTTTAGGCTTAGGCTTAGGCTTAGGTTAGGCTTAGGCTTAGGCTTAGGCTTAGGCTTAGGCTTGGTTTAGGCTTAGGCTTAAAACCCACTTCAACGCATCGTGTAGCGCATCCCGGAAAGAGAAAATCTGCCCAATAATCGACGTTCGCTGAAGAATCGCATCCGCGGCAGTGGTTGTAGAAGACTGACCCTAAAAACAGTGAAAAAAATACAATACAACTGATTCTACAGTACCTTCTTCTCCTTCGGCTCAATTGCCAATTCGTGAGCAACTTCTCGGATCAATTCCGTCTTGTCAAAGTGTCGAGGGTCCTTGTTTTGAATAACAAGTTGGTAGAGGCCTTCTTGAATCTTCGGCTCGGCGCAGATCAACTTTTCGAGCTCGCCGATTTGGCTGGCGACGTGCCAAACGAGACGCTCGGTCAAGTGCTTGATACCGTAGGGCGAGAGGAGTTGGCAGAGGGCTTGCATTTCTGAAAAGGCTTTAATTAAGAAAGAGGAGAGAGAGAGGGAGATAGAGAAGGAGAGAGATATGGGGAGGAAAATACTTTTTGTGAGTGAGTTTGTAAGGACTTACCGGCTGGATCGGTGTACTGCTCGGGGGCGAATTCGCTCTGCTCCCCGCCGCTGATCATCGCCTTCAGGTGGTCGCTCCAGACAAGGTTTCCAGTAGCGGCACGGTGGAGGACGACTTCCAGGTACCTTTAAAATGGGAAACTCGAGGCAAGATAAAGAGAATGAGGTGAGAGCGAGAGAGAGAGCAAGAGAGAGAGTCAGAGAGAGCGCGGGAGAGACTATGCTTGCAAACCAACCATTTTGTGTAGATTGAAGTGACAGTTTTCCGATTTTTACTATCCAGCGGCTGCGTTTGTTGGAGCAACACGTTGCGCATCAGCGTCTGCACGTCGAACGCCACTAAGTATAAAATTTTATTAGCTTCCAACTTTTACTACAAACTACAGCTCTAAAGTCAGTCCCATACCTAGCGTATCCACATTGCTCAGCACCGTCATGTAGCAGTCCAGAATCGACAGTAACTCAGAGGGTCTTCTTGGGAGGGTCGGGGTTTGGGTGGCAGCGTCTGAAACACCAGATCACATAGCTAGAGAGAGAGAGAGAGAGAGAGAGAGGGAGAGAGCGCGCTAGAGAGAGGGAGAGAGAGAAGGGGAGAGAGTGCGACTCACTAATGATCATCTCCGCAAACTTGGTCTCCAGCTGCTGGAAGAGGTATTCGGTCGGGCTGAAGATGTGCTCAGCAACAGTGAAGTTTCGGACGGCCGTGAAGGCGGAGGCGAGTTCGACTGGAACGTGAATTTGGCTTCAATGGACCTTTAAGACGTGCTCTCGATGCTTGGGTTGAAGTTCCGAGCTTGTCCATGCTATGGATTTCCCTTAAATGCTCTTTTAACAAGAACTGACTTACCCAAAATGGTCTGCCGCTTGTCCTGGATCGACAGTTGGCATCTATCTCGTCGCTTACTCTCCGCACCCGCTAGTGGAAAATCTTGGACCAACTTTTGGGCCTTTTTACCCTGCTGTTGGCTGTTGAGGACTTGCATCTGGATTTGCTGGGCTACCTGAAAATTCAAAAATTATTAAATTGCTAAAGAAAAGAAGAGCAAGGTAGAAAGAGTGAGAGCGATAGAGAGCTAGAGAGGGAATTAAAAGCCTACATGAATCGGTGTGGTCAATTCCGTCAATCTCAGCTCATCGTCGCATAAATCTCCAATAATCCCTCCGGTAGTTGCGCATAAATCGCTGAGAATCTGGTCGGCGAGTGCAAGGCTCTGAAAAAATTAAACTAGGTTTTAAATTAATGTATTTCCACAGCTGGTTTAAGGCAAGCTAGCACAGACCGTTACGGAAATTTCAAAAAATCCTCTAGCTAACTTTCTTTGCTTTTTTTAGTTACATTAAAAAAATACCCTCTCAATGATGTGCGTCTTCTCCTCGGGGCACATCTCGTGGATGGCGTACGGGAAATGGGAGCAGATCCGCGCGAAGGCCATCGAGTATCGACAGCTGTTAGGCATCGTCATGCATAACCGCCACTGACGTTCCAGATGTCGGACGTAGAAGCTGAATGGACTCAATTTAAGAGGATTTTCGATCGAATTGGCGTTTTAATTAATCGTCGAGACCTAGATGATGCAAAGCGTTGATTCCCGCGACCTGCCTCTTTAAAAGGGCGTTCAAGTCAGATCCTAGTACAATCTTTCAGATCCTCACCAATATATCGACAAATCGCTCGTTTCCCTAGTGTCTCCTCCAGTAAATCGACCATTCTCAGATGAAAAACGGCCGTGTTCATCGCCACGGCAAACGGTTGATGAGCAGAAAGTTGAAAAGGTGATCGGGAAATCGAGACGTGGGCCTAAAAGTATCATATATTTTGACATTTATCAACATATATTCATCATGTTTTATATTTCGTATATTTCTTATATTATTGACAATACAGTACCTGAAAGCGGCACCAATCAAGGCGAAGAGCTCGGAATGAGACTTCAGCGTTCAGAGATGAAATGTCGCGCATGAAGTCTTGGATCAGCTCGTTGTCGTCCTTGCTGAGACCTTTTAGCTAAAATGCATTTTAATTCCGTTTAAACTTATCAAAACCTAGAAATAAAATGATGACTTTTATTTCTATTTACTAATTTGTAGGCAAATTCCTTACCCCGTTCATCAATTCTCCAATAGCCGCCACGTCGTAGTTGCCGATGTACTGAAACCAAAATAAGTATAAAAATTCCAAAAAAGTTTCATTTTCGTGTTATAAGAACACAATTACAATATTTCCACTAACTTTCTATTTTGTTTACTTAAACTAAACTCACAGTCATATAATATCGCTGAATGATGCCTGCATGTTTCCGAACGAGGTCCCTCAACTCTTCCATGTAATGCAGCAGCTCGGGCAGTTGTTTATCGACCAGCTCCTCGGCTTTTTCTGTCTACAAAACCGATCATAAATCGTGAATTGCACCACTTACCTTGCTGCCATCTTTCTTCTTTGTCGAGGGCCAGATATCGTAGTGGCGGAGGAGCCAGAGGACCTAGAAAAATGACCTTTAAAAAGTTTTTTGTGCAGTAGAACTTTTTCTTGAGAGTTTTCGGCTTTGGGCTTAGCAGAAACTTTAAGAGTCGCTTGAAAAACTCATGCTCTTTCTCACCTCGTCTCGACTGAAGCTCAACGCCATCCATACAAACAGAATTTTAGGGCCGAGCAGTCCTGGCTCATCGTGGATCAGCAGGGTGAGCTCTCGGAGAGGTCCCTGCAGAATTTTCGACGATCACCGTGCAGGGAAGCGCTAAGAGTGGCTTAGAAAAGTTAGAAAAATTCCTCATGGGTCTCTGCTAGCTGCTGAAAATTCTTCTCGAAAGTCGTTCAAAATGCTCCACAGGCCTACCATTGTGCCAAAGCGATCGCGTAAGCATCCTTGATTTCTTTCACTCGCTTGTTTAAGCCCTTGAAGCTTTCGAAGAAGGTCTTGGAGGGCCGGGTGGGCTGATGAGGATCCGGAAATATAGTTCTTCTCACTCCTCACTCACTCTCTCCCTCTCTCCGCTCTCTCTCTCCCGCTCCGCTCTGCAAAAAGTGCGGTATCCCACCTCATCTCTAAAAACGCGAATCGCCAAGCTCCCCTGCAGCGACAACTGCCACATCCGCACGATTAACGGGTCGTTGAGCAGGGCACCATGGCATACGGTACAGGTTACCAAATTCAATTTAGATTAGGGACTACAGACCAAATCACCCATCGCTCCATCACGTCGAGGACAGGTACTCTGGCAATCTTGAAATACTTCACTCTATTACGCCAAAATTTCGAAAAATCGTTGACATAACCGACAAGTTCAAAAAATTACACTACGCCCACTACTCCGTATACCGTATTGGCGATTGGCGAGGAAGAACTAGAGAAATAGCGCTTTAAAATGAACAACCAGAGAGGGGTTTATCAAAAACTCCCAGGCTCTGTGAACCCTTAAAATTTGCCCAACTTACCGTATCCGTCTGGGCGACGTAGACCATTTGCTGGGGGTTTGTCGTAAGCGATAGAATTGGGCAGTTCGCGAAGAAGTTGCGGAAATGTTTCTTCTTGAAGACTAGACCTGAGCTCAGGGCGGAGAGCATCAGCTAAAAAACACGGGCGAATTTAACGAGAGAAAGAGGGTGAGAGAGAGCGAGAGTGAGAGAGAGGAGAGAGAGAGAGAAAGAGCGCAAGAGAGCAAGAGAGAAATCGCAAGAAAGCGAGTGATATCAAACCCTTACTCGATTCAACGGTGTCAACTCCTCCGACAACTTCTTTAGCGGACTCTCGTAGTCCAGAATCATCTGGCCGAGCCTCGGAAATGAGGCCTCGGTCTGGCCATTTGCCAGTTCATGGGCGGCGTTGAATAAACCGAGAACCTAAAAAATAAGTAGATACTTACTTCGGAAACCTACCGCCTTGCGATCGTCTACTCTTGAGAGGAGGATCATCGCTGAGATGAGGTTCACCACCAGATTCAGGTAGCCGGTGGTCAGCTCGTAGTTGAGGGCCTGAATTATATAAATTATAGATTTTCGTGGCGGCTCGCTTCATCTAAAAATCGATTTTCCGCCTAATTTTTTTTTATAT